AGTATAGTTGAAACTATGTAATTCAGTTATTTTGACCTGTACTATATTTCAATAAATAATACGTTACAATAACCGTTTATAATTTAGTTCGCAAATAAAGAGAAGATATACTGGATAGTACAATTTACTTACTTTTGGAATATAACTTTACAGAACTTCTGCTTTTTCTGCCGGGAAGTATTTACTCAAAACATTCAAAGTATTCAAAACATTATTATTATTATTATTATTATTATTATTATTATGTAGTTTTGGTTATTTTCAAACCTCTCCAGAATTTTTTTAAATTTTTTAAACTTCCCTATCTCACTTTCACTTTTCATCGCTTCATTCCCTACGTAATTCTCTGAACAAGGGCTCTTAATTGTTTGAACTTCTATAAAGTGAAAGTTTATTTCTAGTATCTTAAATTCTACCTATAAAGATATGGAAACACGACGTAAATATCGGAGATTAATGAAATAGCAAATTCATTCAATCTTCACAAATATTGTATCTTTTTTTTAGGAATTTGTCATTTTTCCACTTCTCGAATTAACTTGGCCTATTCGTGATGAACACTTCCCTCAAATACATACTAATTCAAGGATCGGGATCTTATACATAACGTCAGGACAAAGGAGATGTAAGGGATTGGTATACTTAGTAGGAAGAAAAAATGAAGATACATATTTTTACTTCATAACGTTCGTTTTAATGTTTCGCATTTGATATGATATTTGCCAATAGGGGTTTTACATACAACAATATCAACACAAAATAGCAACTATATAATGCAATAAAATGATTAGCAACAAAACAGTGGCATTGGTTTGCCAATGAGCCCTCGCGGCTGTCATGGCAACTAACACTCTCAATGGTCATGGAGCATTTATACACTAGATAAGAGTCTCTACAACATAAACTTCCCAACTGTAACCATGGAAGTTACACAGAAGTTGGCTACTGGCAGGTATTCGTTCCAGTTAACAACGATTGTCTTCGGTGTTAAGTAACATTGTAATAGAGTATTTGACAACAAGTAATGTTCACTTTGGTGGTTTGTGATGTGTGACTGCCGTTAGCCAACTTCTACGAAACTTCCCTCACATACAACATCTCCCAGAGGAACATTTGTGTCAATAACGTACGCTTTTTTCTTTTTCCTTCAATTTACTGCAACTACAAAAATGCATAAATACAATGGATCTGGTATACAATACATTTTTATAGGGGTTTTCTCTTTTCGAGTAATCGCTAAACGTCTCTGCAAGGAACTGTATCCAATTAAAACTATACTCGATATGAGCTAATATGTATTTGCATTTGAAGCTGTGAACAAGGTTCTTTTATCTCAATCAAAAAAAGAAGTTTTTTCACGAATACAAAAAACGACATCGAAGTTCTACTCTCAAGTACAACCTTAGGCTTACAAATCTCAATGGAATGTTACTTTTGTGACAACTACAGCAATAAACGGACAAGTACATAAAACAAATAAAATTTATAGTTTCTATGATTTCCCCATACTTGCTTCAATGATGATGATAATAATGATATCTTTATACAAGCATGAGGATGTGAACTTCACAGATATTACAAAATAATCAGTCTGCCTTTGCATGTTACAGTGATATATTACATTAACACATAAAAACGTTGTTCCATCCATAGTTATTGACAACTATATTCAGAAAAGCCACAAACAAACTAAATACAGTTGAAGATTCAATTTTCTAATCAAGCGGTTGGCAACAATGCAGGTTCACGAAATTACACACACGTACATACAATCTCAGCCTTGCACTTTATTCTAGGGAGAAAATGGGACAGAATTTTTTTTTTTCATTTTCTTCCCATTAATATTTGATAACGTTCACAATTTGAATGTCAAATTTTGTCAAATATTTATCTTATCGTTTAATAAATACTCTTTTTGGTACATTCGAATACTGTATGACATGAATATTCTTATATTTTAAGATCTGAATATAGTTGCGTAGATGCATGATTTTCCTTCGAGTAAAAGAAATTTAAGTCTTTCTTCCTCCATGATTCCATGGAGATGATAAATATACAGGTATCTATAATACATTTCAAATATAAATTACATACATAACTTAAAACATGGTTCTGACACTCTAGGCCTCTCGCAAAATCGTTATGCTATTCTCTGATTATAAAAAGAAGCCTTTATCCGATTGTATAACCATCACCTTATTCTATTCATCCAGTTCCCACCAAAAGCTTTGCTCAACAATGAACATTTCCAATATAGTACATATCCATCTTTAAACATCTTAAAATATCTCATCGTTAAGTTACTACAGAATAAAGTTATCACAGACACATCTCACCTAGTAGCAATTTGCTGCCTTTTTGTTAATAAAAAAGATTATTATTATTATTTTACAGATTGTAGGTTTATTTTTCAGTCCTATTTATATGACCAACTACCATTGTTTGAGGTCGCATTCCATCAGTCATAAGCCGCCGATTCTGGGCCACGTCTGTAAAGATCTCGCAATCGATCGAACAGTCTAACCAACTTAAGATGTGTTGACGAATACAAAAATAAAATCTTTTAGAAAGCACACGAACAAAAAAAAACGTTGCAGCAGCTTTCTTACAGCAACTTTCTTATTGAAACAGCTAATTAAACGCTTTGGAATATTAAATTTCAAAGTCAAATATCAAAGTTTAATCAAAATCACTAATTTACTTTCGTTTTGCATAATGTGAGCTTCAAGTTTGTGCGTAGAAACCCAGAAATAATGAATTGGTCGATCAGAAAAATAATTGATAATACAATGTACAGTCCATTTCGTTCATACTGTTTGACATTTTCTATGTTTACGAATAGGTTGTAATCGATACGCGAACTCGAAGAATATACAGACGAGTCTATTAATAATTTTTCTGATAGACTTATGTAGTGAGAATTGCCAAAGTTTTGACATTTCGTCTCCACAACTCTATAATCGCCACTTATCGAAGAATAAGACTGGAAAAAGGAATAGCGGGTGCTATTCAACAGCCCGCTGCCAGTTTGGCATTTGACCTTAGTTCTGAGGTTTGCCGTTCGCATGTCAGTGGATTAATACTCTTCGGCAACCACTAAGGAGACGAAATAAACTGTACACCGCACTTGGGTGTCAGGAGGTAATCAAGCATCATTAATTCCAGTATCGTCATTTTTCTGATCGACAAATAGACCAATTGACACGTCGAAAAAAACAATGCCGAGTGACAATGTGTAGCTCAACAGCTGGTCGCCAACACAAACTTCAGCCTCCAGTAACCTCAGCTCTCACATATTCTTTCGACTTCGCCCAAACGACCTCAGCACGAATGGCATTCTACAAGGCTACATAGTACGTAAAGCATTGCATGCATTTATAGATACATTATATTATAATTCAAAGTCTTATACCTTACTCAAACATACTTTTAAATACAAAAGAAGCAAAAAACACTGCACTATGTACTTCGTATTGGTACAAAAATGACCACAAAAAAAAAGTAACAGAGAGAAAGTTATAGATCAGAAACAAAACAGAACGAGCGTGTTGGCGTTCTGTTTGATTTTCAGGGGGGTGCAAATGTTGCATTATTTATTCTACATTTATCCTACTTTACGTAGTATATACTTAATACATGTACCATTCCCCTTGTCGTGCTTCTCCGTACAGTAGAGACGTACAAGGAATCCTTACGTTTCTAACCTCGTTCAAAGCGTTTCCCACAGGAGGAGAAGCGAGCGAGGAAGAGGGGGGGGACAGTTGAAGCTCTCGTGGCGGTGGCCTTGAGACAGTAGATCGATGCCCGGCGCCGAGGGGTCGGGGCGAGAGTGGGGGGGCGGGAGGGGTTGAGGTGGGGGAGGTTCTAGTATTGATCTATCTTCACTCCCCCACCACCCAGCCTCCCCCCACTTCGCGGTCTCCCAGTTGTACACTACTCTGCGTACGCGAGGTCGCGCTCTCTCTCTCTCTCTCTCTCTCTCTCTCTCTCTCTCTCTCTCTCTCCCACTATGCCTTCTCTCAGAGTCTCTCTGTCTTATTTCCCTCTCTCTATCTCCATGTCTCTCTTCATGTGTACCTTCTGTCAGAGTGTCTCCCTTTCTCACTCTCTCTCCCTATCCATTTTCTCTCTCTCTCTCACTCCCTTTCTCTCTCTCTGCACGCGTCTTTTCCCTCAAGCCTCCTACAATACGTCGTCTTGAAAGAACTAGGCCTTTCGACGAACGATTTCAAACCGCCCCCCCCTCCTCTCCATAAATGTTTTTTTTTTTCTGTTCTCTCCGCGTCAACACACGGTCTGCAGGACTCCTTAAGATTGTGTGACCTGGTCCCAATATGCTTCTCTGCCCATCTCACGGCCTCCGTCTAAACCATCTCCCTCGCGTGCTGATTCTTCTCTCATTCGCCCACGACCGAAACAGCACGCGAGGGCAGCCGTGCGTACGGGAGAGCGTTGCGAGCGGCCCCTTCAAATGAGGAATGTTGACATAAAAATCGGGGTCAGCAGACGTGTTGCTGCGGAGTGAACGGCGCCATTTCTCTGCAAGTCACATGAAGGAAGGGGAAAGAAGACGATGAGAGAGAAATAAAAAAAAAAGCCTCGAGGCGGTGCTGTTTCGAAATGACGTCCAACGCTCGCGGTGGTCAAAATTAGCGCCGCGTCCCGGGCACGCCGCCACGGAGACTATCTCGGGCGCTGGCGGCGGCGGCGGCGGGGAACCGAAGAGGAACTGAAGAGGAACTGAAGAGGAACTGCGTGTGCGCGCCGCGCACAACTGAAAAGCGTCACTTTGCACGATGATTTATTTATTTATATATTTTACGTCAAAAAAAAAGTTAAAAACCGTATGTGACGTGCTACGGAGAGAAGTGAATTCTGTGTACGTTTTCATATTTCAGTGATCCTCAGATAAACAAGTCGAATTCTGAATACAGAAAGCAATGCGCCTTTTTGTTGGAATTGTTAACAAAATATTCGCTCCTTAAAATAAAATAAAAATTTTAAGGGTAAATCAGCTATAGATTTCGTCTCGTATCCCTCATCATGTCCTTGGTGAAGGAATAATACTTCCCGCCGCGACATAACTGAGCACGATAATTTGAATAGCTATATTTCCCACTGAATTCTAGTAGACGTACACAGACGGTGAAGTTGCATTACGACATGAACGGAGTGTCGGTGACGGGCTGCAGTGGTGCGCAGAACCGCGTTGCATTCGTTCGGAAACAGTTATTTACGTAACACGTCCAGCAAGTATGTCTTCGGCGTACGAATGAAATGGGGCCTACTAGGAAACGATAGGAACCGAAGGTCTGTTTCGACATGCGCGTGCTGTAAAGTAACACTTTCGAATCAACAGACAGTGAAGGTAGGCACTGGTTTTCATCCACGAGTGCTGAAAATAATATTTCGAGTTCAAAAGGGAAAATTCGAGTGCTGGTTTTGAATTATTTTTTATCGTTTGAGAAACAAATTTCTGCGGTAATTGACGGCGGTAAATACTATTAGAGTAAAAAAGAAGAATTTGAAAAAGGCAAACAACTTCTTCTTGAATGAACGAATACATGAAACATCTTTAAGTAAACTTTGAGATAACTGATAAAGTATCTAGAGCAACGTTTACAGAAGATAGATGAAGCTATGTAGTTTTAAAATCGGCGAGCAAATGCGTTTGGTACAGCGACAACATAAAATAAATAAAAAGATAGTAAATGATTAATCTCTTTCAAAAATACGGGATGTGTCGCATATAATAATGATACGGTAGTAAAGAAAATGTCTGCACGACATCGCGTTATCCCTAAAGCACCGTTTGAGCAAAATATATTATTTAAAAAAACTCGAGAAAACTACAAAAAATGGGAAAACAAAGCATCAATCCTTTGCAGAGGCTAAGGATTGATATCCTCATGTGACAAGCAGGTAAAATGGGAGGTCGAAAACTCAACTGTACTGCGTCGAACCTCTCAAAAACAGTCCGTGATAAATGGAAATTTTTTTATGAGAGGTATTTTGTCCCTCTTCCATCGACACCTCACACGAGAGAGAAAGGGAACTCACGCTATAAATAATACAGATTACGAGTTTGGTCTCTAATCTGCCAAGAACCCCCACGTGAGCTCAACTCCTTACATTGCAACGAGGTGTCCCAAGAGAGATACCTCACGGTGGTGATAACATAGTAACATACGACGTAACTTCAACCTCTTTTGTAGAAAGGAGCCTCACATGAGGTATAACAAGATACGCTGAACCCCTTTGGCACAAACGGGAAGTGCTCACGGTAAACGTAATATCAAAAAAAGGAGCTTAGCCCCTTATTTAGCAAAGAGCATCCACGTCAGAAGGACTTAACAATTGGCAGCTCAACTCCTTATGTGCCAAGGAGACTTTACGTGACAGAAAATCGTTCTTGTACTAGAAATACGTGAGTTCACCCCAGTCTGTCCCAACGAGAGAGGGAGAGATAGTGCTGTCACGCTAGAAATAACACAGCACGGAAATTCAGCTTCCTGTAGCAAGGAGACACCTTCATGCACCGACGAGACTTTACATGGCAGAGAGAGAGAGAGAAAAAAAGAGTTCTTATTCTAGAAACAATAACTCACGGGAACTTAGGTTTCTATAGAAAGAAGCCTCAACATGAGAGCCACTTTCGTCCGCCAACCAGACTTTACATTACAGAAAGAGAGAAAAAAGGAAGAGTTCTTATATTAGAAATAATAAATCATGGGAAATTAGCTTCGTATAGAAAGGAGACTCAAAACGAGAGCCTCCTTCATGCACCAACGAGAGTTTCCATGACAGAGAAAGAGAAAAAAAGGAAGAGTTCTTATACTAGAAATAATAACTCACGGGAACGTAGATTCCTGTAGAAAGGAGCCTCAACATGAGAGCCACCTTGATGCACCGACGAGACTTAACAAGACAGAGGAAACACGAAACAAGAGTTCTCCCGCCCGACACATCGCCGGGCGAGCCGTAGAGCGACCTCGCAGAGGAAACCTGTAGGTTGGCGCTGCGCGGCGACGCGTTAGGTGCTGCGGCTGCCCGGCCGCGGTGGCTCCGCGGCGTCGGGCAGCGGCGGCAGCGTCGACGCGCTCCTCCTCCTGCGCTGGGCCACGCCCCCTCACGAGCGCCACGACGAGCTCAGCAGCTGCGGGCCCGGGTACGAGCTGGCCGCCCGCGCCCCCGGTCGGCGCGACGGGATCGCCACGGGCTGCGACGCCGGCGGCGGCGGCACCGCCACGGGGCTGCTGCACGCCATCCCTGCGCACACACGCGCCGTCCGACGGTCAGCGACACGCGACAATGTACATACTCACACACGACCATCCGACAATGAGGGCCAAGCAACAATCAACGTGGGCGCTCACGCCATACCTACGCCCACACGACCATCCAACAATGAGCGACACGCAACAATGTGGGCGCTCACGCCATACATACTCACACACGACCATCCGACAATGAGGGGCACGCAACAATAAGCAACAATGTGGGCGCTCACGCCATACCGACGCACACACGCCCATCCGGAGATGAGGGACACGCAACAATGTGGGCATTCACGCCTTACATACGCACCATCCAACAATGAGGGACACGCAACAGTGAGCAACAATGTGGGCGTTCACGCCATATCTACGTATACACGACCATCTAACAATGAGGGCCAAGCATGAATAAATTAAAAAAGAACAACAATGTAGGCTTTCACGGCAATGTGAATCGGTGGTGAGCATGACATTAATGTGACGTGGTAGTGAATATGGTTGTGAGCACGACAGTAATGTTACGTGGTGGTGATCGTGAGCACGCTGGATGTATCGTCAATAATACCTTCCGGGCTGGATAGCTGAGCTCTATTGGACGTGGGCGTGAGCACGACATTAATGTGACGTGGTGGTGGACGTGGTCGTGAGCACGTTCGATGTATCATCCATCGATAATACCATCCGGGCTGGAGAGCCGTGCTCTTTTGGGCATTGGACGTGGTTGTGAGAACGACATTAAATTTCAAGATGTTGATGTTTTATCGCGTATGGAACACAACCATACCCACCTACATCGTGAGACCATTAAGATGCTTAAACGTCCTTTGAATTTTAATAAAAAAAGAGGAAGGGATAAAAGTCTACTCGGCGTCGTTACCCACAAGTTAGGTGAAGCCCAAACCATTCCTACATCAACAACCGATACTAGTGACCCCGGCCGACAATTACAAGAGCCCCAGCACCGTAAACAAAAAAGAAATCTTTTCCAGTTACCAGTTAGCTACAATTTTCTTTCATTAAATATTTTCCTTGTTCGACAAGTCTTTCTTTATTGTCTTACAAGGGTGTGAAAATATTAATTTGGAAATACTTTGCGTATCACTGCGTGTAACTGAAGATGTCTGCAGGAGTCACAGATGAAACGTTTGGACGAAAAATGTCCACTAGACCAAAGCTATCCATCCTGGACGGTATTAGTAACAAAAACATACTTGTTTTTAATACGTTCATATTTTAAATATTGGTGTTTTTACTTTCTCGGTACGGAGTAGACAGAAGGTAACGTAATGTTGCGCGAAACTAGTGGTGCTAAAACAGGATGTACCTTCTTGCCCGGATTATGAAGCAAAATTACGCGAAAACTACTCAAATGTTTTGAAAGAAAAGACCTTATTTCAAAATTTAATTTAAGGAATAGATTCCATTAAGGGAAAAATCCCTATCTCTACTGATATAGTTTACCGTGGTAGAGAAAAAGTGGTAAAATCCAGTTGAAAAACTCACATGATAAAAAGTCCTCTAATACGTGGTTTAGTCAGAATCAATGTTTTGTGGATCCTTGAAACAGAAAATTTGAGTATTTTTCTCGTAATTTATCGTGACTATTCCACTCACTGAAATTATTAGTGTTTACCTACACGCACAAAATGCCCCAATCAGTGCGGTGTATCTCTAAACGTTTCTCGCTTTTTCTATCTTATTTTTCTTACCGCGTCTACCTACTGGCCAATCATAAACTGTGACTCATCTAGCTTAGGAGGCGGTATACACCGATCGCTATGTCGGTGTCCAATAACAACGTATGTACTATAACATAACCTCTTGATTTTAATATAAGCTTACAGTTAATATTTGGCGCATGTTGGAACTTATTTAACATAATTTCACTCGTGGAATAGTCCCATTAAATACCACTCGTGCTTTGGAATTACTCCTCAATTCGTAAGTCGGGGATTTATCGACAATTTCCAAAGGACTCGTATAATACTATAGGCAGGATGGCACGTGCCGTTTCCGCACCACTGTTCCATCGCCGTGGGGAAAACAAAAAAAAAGTTTTACTCACCGACGGGCAGTGCCCCTCAGGAGGTCTCGGGCGCGCCCACGCCGGCGCCCGCCGCCGCACCCGCGCCGTCCACGGGGTCCTTGCTGCGCAGGGAGCGCTTGAGGCGGTCCACCAGCCGCGAGTGGAACTTGTTGAGCGACGACTGCGAGCCCGTCTTGGGCGGCGACGACGACGTCGACTTGCTCGGGCTCTGAAGGCTGGACTGCGAGGCCCGCGACGACGCGCGCGAGTACTGCCGGCTGGCGCTCGCCACCTGCGCACACCGACAGTCACTTTTCCCTCACGGCATTATCCTAACGGTGCACACCAATATATATATATATATATATATATATATATATATATATATATATATATATATATACACACACATTGCTTGATTAATGAATGGCACACCGCAACTGAAAAGCGCTCCGGTGCCTCCGGAATAATTATTAAATTATATAATATGTAATCGGTTCCATTACATTATAATTAATTTATGGCGTATTCCCGGACCTTAAATTTTAAAAATGAAGTATTATATATCTATATGTAGGGATATTAAGTGCAAAAATGACTATAGGGGAAAGTTAGGATGTCTCTTTGGCCCCTTTTAGAGCAACCGAGAGTAAAAAAAACGGAAACACTGTTTAAATCAGTTTGTCGGTGCCTACCCTTCCCTAAAAGCCTAAATTCCTTTGTTTGTTCCATTTTTCTATTTCTCTTCTTGTGTTGTTTCGTGTGGTTATACATAAATATTACACGAAAAATGACCGGCGCCTTGATGGGAAAACTGCGTAAAATAGTTTAAAAGTCTATATGACCGCGCCCATTCTTTCCTAAATGCCAAATTTTCTTTGATTTTTTCATTTCCTAATACTCTACTCTTTATTAGTATTACGTTATTTCGTATTAATTTACTGTTTATAAATATACGAGGCATTTATTGCTCAAGGAAATTAAGTCCAGTTTTGTTCGTTTTGGACATATTTCTTAATTCAAAACTTTATATGAAGCCTTTTTCAGAGCTAAAAAGGACGATGTCACGTTGTGAAATTACGCTCATAAATCCCAAATTAATGTAATCGTTTCCCTGAAATACAATTTTCCCTAACAATTTTTCACCTATTTTATTCACAAGTATGCGAATGTCATTTGATTCTCTAGTGCTTGCTTCGTTTCTCACGCAAAACATGTTCGTAATTTTTAGGACAAGGCACAGTGAACTATCAATGGAAAAGCTGTTTATAAGTCTTTTTAACAGCGACTAGCTTTCCTTAAAAGCAATTTCCATTGCAAAAATTCGGCAGTTTGGCTATTTTTCTATAAGTCTACTGTATATATAATTCACTAATGCGACGGCAGAATTTTGTCTTGGTATTCGTAAGATATCATTAAACATATTATGTGTCTCAAAAAAACTTTATATTTCTTTCCGACGATAATTAAATACTTCAGGTTAATTGGAACTGTTTTCCTGTTCTTTTTCATCACTATCTGTTGTTCTAAAGGGTACTGCATTATTTCGTGGATACCTTAATGTATATGTGTCATAATTATTGTTACAAACTTCTACAACAAGACTGAAGATGACGTTTTGCCAATGAACATGTAGTGCAAAAGTTAATTTAACGGACTCATGGATATGGCAAATGCCCCTGATCGTCAGGCAACCCCTTATGCACAAGCGTTCGGCAGGTCACGTGCTGTCGCAATCAAGGAGATTGCATGCACGTAAGTTATCAAGCACCAGTGTTACGCAGGTACACGAAATATCTTTAAATGAGTCAGGGGTAAATGTCATGCGAGAAGCTTTCTAATATGACGTTTCCCATTACACGACAAGTGACGAAAAGTGATCATTTTGACATAACGCAATCAGGAATTAAAAGCCACTCTTTGCGGACGTGTCCAAATGAGTTGTACCTAAAGATGACGTGTCAGTTTTTCTATTCCAAGAAAAGATATATCTTATTTTGGGGTGCACAATCGATTAATTTTCCTTGGACGCATTATATTCTTAGCAGAACTGAATTAACTTTAGTATGTCCCTTCCGACGATGAAAATCAGTATGTTTTACGAACTAATGTTAAAAATGAATAATTCCAAATAAAAAATAACTTAAAAAACGAACAAAAATATCAGAAAGGCTTTTTGTACAAAAGACTGTTGTTTGTCCTACCCGTGAACTAACTTCATGAAACTTTATAGTTGTAACAAATACTATTTACAAACAAATAATATTTCAAAATCGGTTTAATGTTTTGTATATCAGACACGAATGAGCCAAAATACCATTTGCCCAAAGAACCTTGTCCCAAACTAAAGCCGCGAATGACCCATTTTGAGGTGACGTGTCACATCTCGTGTTGAACACGACCAAAGACAAAGTTTTACGTGGCACTTTAAATTATTTTAAGAACTCTTTAAAGGATACACTGCTAAATTATGGCATCATTAGAGGAAAACTTTATCATCTAAACTCCATTTCGTAAGAAAATCAATAAGAAATATAAGAATCCCCAATACTGGCGTGTAAAACTGCCTTTATGAAATATTTCCTAGTAAAACATAGAGAATTTGGAGAGTTAAGGGGGAAAATTATGGAAGCGTTTTAGAAGAAAAAATTGAAAGTTATAAACGATATGTCGAAACAGCGTGCTTTGAAAGGTCAGAAGAAGGTGATATTACATTGTGTCATATAGTTAATGATGTGTATATTAATAGCATGGTTATTGCATCCCTTTTCTCAATTGTAGATCGCACGAGATATTTATGAACCAAACGATCGAAGCAGGGATCAACACCTGCAATTTAACAGTTGTTGAATGCACACATATCTTGTGCGATCTCTAACGAGACTTGTTTAGTAGGATTTGGTGTGGAATGACATTCCCATAATTAGAAATAGAAATATCAGACGTACTTTAATTTCGCAAAAAGCTTTTTCGGACGAATCGTCTTCGTTGCTGTGAAATAACAGAACAATTTGGTCAAAAGAACAAATATAAGTGCAATTACGTGATAAAAATATTTACAAATTGAACAAAAGGAAGACCAAATTAGAAAAAAAAAGAAATTTTCAAATTACAAAAGAAATAATACTTAAAATTACAAATGTAAAACAATTACATATATTCTTCTGTACAAATTTTAATTTCGAATTTTGAGATGTGTGGTAGCATTGAGGATAGTCGCAAACGACTGAAAAAGTTTTTTTACAACAACAAAAAATACTATGACAAAACCTCGTTTGATATTTTCATTTCTAATAAAATGTTTTAAAGCTGTTTGCTGATTTCTCTACAGTTGAGTTTATTTATTTAAAAAATTCGGGACACCTAATGTTTCTCCTGAAAGTATTGCGAAATCTGAAAAGACGAACGTTAAGTAAAAGGCTACTATGCACCGTGTGCAATATCTAACAGACTGTTTCTTTAATTTTACTCCAGAACTGTTTGGATGGTTAGGATGTAAACATACGAAACGTCCCCGGAACTATGAAGAAGATTCCAATTTTGCTTTTTTGTGTCATCTTATACATATTAGAAAACTACAATGCGTTTTTTGTCGTGCTGACCAATAGCGAAAAAAGCGAGGCGAAGAGTTTCCGGGCAAAACTTTGGAAAATGGGACGTATACAAGCCGTACGATACTGAAATATTGTTTCATGTCTGTGCATGTAGAATTCTTGGAACAAACTTTTTACAAACAATATTACTATTAAACGTTTCGAATCCTATTAGTTTGGATTCTTCCTCAAGTATCCATCAACCTATGCCAATCATTCTCTATGGACATGTTGGATGTGAAATTTGTTTCTTGTGAAACTCGTTGTTTAACGTGTAACTTTTAGAAGAATACATAGTTTGTGAAAAATGTGTTCCAATAATCCTACACCGCTGCCTTCGCGTGGCGGTTTCGAGGACGAGTCTTACCTGCACGGGCACCGACCGGTGGGCAGGGGACCCCACAAGAAAGTCGCTGCCGGGCGACGTGGACAGGCTGGGCCCTTCGGACTTGGAGCATTCGGACACTTTACGGCTGCGACAGCTCTGCGGGTTGCTGCACTCGGAACTGCGCCTCGACCGGTTCGACTTGTAAATGTCCCAATCGTTCTTCACGACAGGCATCATAAACGCCATGGCTGCTGTCGATGTCTTCGCGAACGCGCGGAAACAAAAGTAGATTCTCTCAGGCGCTGCCCGCTCGTGGACTCAACGTCTGTTGCACTGCGCCGAAGTGGGTTCTCGAGCTGAGGTGTGACTGTCCAAAGCACCGAGGAGGAATTCTGAGACTCTCAGCGTCCGCTGGGAGGAAGCCGTGTTTCACTCGGGGGCTTCCTGCTCACGCGGAACCGTCTAGAAGCTTCTGCGTCGACTCGCTGGGCAACAATCACCCACGGCTCGGCTGCTCCACTGTTCCCACTCGAACCACAACAAACACTGCGACGGGCACGCGACTCGTGAGCTCGGACGCAACAAAAAAAATCCAGCAGGGTCGCACTCGACGGGTAGGAATCGCGTGTGACTACAGCTTTCGACCGATCCGTGCGCTGGGTTAGCCTGGACTGCGCGCCACGCCCGCCGCCCGCCCGTTTTATACGCGGAGGAGCGGCGGAGCGGGCGGGGACCGCAGCGAGGCGTCCCATTGGTCCGACGCGGTGACGTCACGGCCACACGCCCGCGCGGGGTGGGGGAGGCGGCGCCGTGACGTCAAAGGGGTGCGCAAAGCCGTCGCGGTGGCCGCGTGCGGCGCTGGAATCTGCGCAGAAAAAAAGTCGCGATGGGGTTGCAGACTTCGGCGGCGCGAAACATTGACCCGACACACGAGTGGCGACTGCCCCTGCAACAAATCACGCGAGGTTTCGTCAATCTGACGTCGTATTAAAGAATGACGCTATGTGTCACAATTGGAATCTTCCCGACTACGCTCCGAAACACCATGACTCCACATTTCAGTTATATACACACGCAATAAGTAAATATTTTTCGAAAGAAAATAGTTGAACCAAATACACAATAATAATTGTCATTTTCGACATCAACATAAACAACAGTATAACAAAACTGTAGATAAAATATAGGTATGTTTACATTTATAAAGTTATTGATTGATAGTCAAGAAACAGTGCTGAAGAGATAAACAGCATTCTTCTGTCACCTGAAAGGAAACTTTGACAACTGATTATGAAAAATGCACTGCGTTTTCAACTTTTACCACAAACCTTACTGACGAAAAAGTGCAATAAACCAAAAATAATAAACGATTAAATAAAATCTTCTATTGATGTTATCATAACCTGTCGAACTCTTTAAAAATAAATCAAATCAACTAAGTAAATTAAATATTGAAACAATTAAAGAACGATTCTGCCGTGCATCCTTCATGAATTTGGCTTAAATTTCGGAGGATTAATGATAAAATTAATTTAGGGGTATCATAACTGATTCCAACGAAACGTAAAAAGAATAATGTGTAAATACACCTTGGGAATTTAAAAAAATGAACATAAATGTTAACAGAGGGAAGTATTTATGACCAACGTCAATAATATCTTTCACAATTCTGAAACAAATCACGAATGATTTAGTGAATCTGTCTTCGTATTAAAGAATGAAGTAATGTGTCACAAATGGCAACTTCCCGTAGCGGTCTCAGACTCTCCGAATCGGGATGACGATCCACATACAGTTAAATACATGTGCAAAAAGTAAATATACTAATGAAACAAAATAACGAAATTAAGTAGACAATAATAGTTGTCATTATTTGCATCAACATACATACCAGAATAATAAAAGAATATTCCCCCTAATATATTTTATAATTAGTGTACTGGGGGAGACTCAATATGACTATAACAATTATTGTATCCCAGCTTCTGAGTCAATGATTCAAATCCACGGGTAATTACCTTATAGAATATTACCAGAAGAGATGGCTCAGGGCGCTTCAATTGATGTTACTGCAGTCCCTCTGACATGAAGGTCCTAGATTCGAGTCCCGACGGTGGCAAGGTTTTCGACACTAGCTTGTTAGCTAGGTCAAATTCAGTCGCTTTCTGGAGGAGCATTCTAGCGACCGGCTGCTCTGGTCGGTAGTTTTCCGTGGTTTCTCCGATCAACACCAGACGAATGCCGGAGCAGTACCCTAACGAACGGGCCACAGATCGCGTGCGATCTTTCCTTCCTCTTCCTTGGCATATCCTCACTCCTTAATTACACACAGTATTTTATTTTGTCCTATCCTCATCCCCTGACAGTACCACACATCTCGGGAGACTGATCGGGAGCTTAAAGCTTGTCCTGGTTGGTGCCCCGCTGGTGGGAGATACCTGGTTAGAGAAAAGTCTGCAAGCTGACGGTAGGTCAGTGCCGGATCTCACCATAGAGGACTACCACAATCACCGAAACAAAGACATGCACTACACCTACAGGAATAGTGACGTTTAGTATTTGACGCGCCTGTAATCAGTAACAATCAATCAATTATAGAATCTTCACCAAGTTCACGTGCCTAATTTTTCAATACGTGTCAAGGTTCGCTGGAGTACCGAATGGAAAACCCTGAGAACGTCATATGACGTAAGGAACGGAGTCAACTCAATATGCTATGTCATGAAAATTGCATAACATTGGTTCATCTTATCCCAGTCTCCGAATTTGTTTACCTTGACAAACCGTTTTTTTTAACATAGGACGAAGAACTTCCCATCGTTTATTTACTTATTGTGCGTGTGTGTTTATGTGAGTACGCATGAGTGTGTGATTATGCAAAATTTCAAACTTTAAAACAAATTAAATTGTACTATTTTCATTCGTTTTTAATGTAATCACAGCTAGTCAGTGCATCAGTGGTAGATAATCAGTTCTCTGATTTTTCGCTTAAGTCACCTCCTCAGCTCGGTGATTCTCGTATCTCTATACGAGATCGTGATATGCATTTTTGAATAAACTTTGATTGTGTTGTGAAATACGACTCCTTTCGACATAATGGGATTTACGAACGTGTCTTCCTGAATCCAATGTGCACCATCCAATGTGTATCGTCATGACTTTCGTCAGGCTATGTTTATTCTTTTGAATCATTGTTCTCAGCGGCGGTTTCTGTTATTTTGCGATGCCTCATCGAAATTTAATGTTTTGCCCACCTTACTCATCAATCCGTCGCAAAAGAGAGCTAAAATCACACGTAACATAATAATAAATATTTTCTCCGCAGATTTCCTTTTGACGTCGTAACAAGAAACAGCATGCAATTTCGTACAAAACTAGATTCTGCTTCCAATTCTCTGACAATGCAATTCTTAGTCTACAGTGAGTTTAGCAACATGATGTCGAAACGTTCTACATGACGTTTTTATTTACATATGATATTGTTCTAGGAAGTAAATAAAACAAACAAGGAGAATGAAATTGTAACTTAAGTAATACAATGAATTCATTTATTTATTGATTAGTGGTTTCGGCCACGTCAAGGTCATTCTTCCCATAAGTGTATGCATGTTTTATCACAGCAGATGTCGGTGATATTCCTCCCCTCCCCAAACAGTTATCTCCCACCAGCGGGACACCACCTTAGACCGGACAAGCTCCAAGCTTTCGACTGGTCTCCAACAAGTGTGCTAGTGTAGGGCATGATAGTGTAAGTGTCTGCAAGGGGTGAGGATAGGACAAGGAAGAGGAAGGAATGATCGCGCACGGTCGCTGGTCTATTTGTCAGTGTACTGCTCCAACATTTGCTTAGGATATAGCAACTTATGGATAGACAATATTTAATTACGCAGGGTTACGGTGTCCATTTGTAAGCTTTCAGGGAACCTTGGCTACCAAGCACTCTCCTGCTGCGTACGTCTTTATTAGCAGTATACTGTGTCACCACACTTGGGAACAAATTCAATACATCGTGAACATGTGATCGATTAGCATATGCCATTCTAGCCTGCTAGTACGTCACATGCTAAATGGGGAGGATTAAACCGGGAGAGGTGGCTCATGGCATCAATTTATGTCACTGCAGTTTCTCGGATCGGGATGTACTAGGTTCGAGACCCAACTGGGGCAGGGCACTAGTTTTCTCTCATAGGTCGAATCCAGTCGCTTACTGGAGGAGAATTCGAGCGGCCGGCTGCTCTGATCGGTAGTTTTCCATGGTTCCTCCGATCTCCATCGGAGAATGCAGGATAACAAATGGGCCGCGCGCGATCTTTCCTTCGTTTTCCTTGCCCTATTCTCTCACCCTCTCACATTTACAGTAGTGCTCAAAAAACGCATCATCTTTCTCGCTGTTGTAATTTGCAATATAATCCTGAAAGTACATAACTTGATTTGCAAAATTCGAGCGAGTTATGAAGGTAATGGAATCAAAAACAATATATAATCAACATAAAATATATGATTACCAATTTACTAGTATTTTTTAAAAGTTTTGAGGGCGGATTGGATTAGGAAAATACAGAATGCCCATTTTCTTCAGATGATGAGGTTTTTTGGCACTAATGTACATGCACTTCATAACTGCACCTGTTGGGAGGCTAGAGCTTGTCCCAGCCGGGCCGGTGCCCTTCTGAGGAAGATTTCTGAAGGGGAATTCTCCCGTGAGTCGTGTGGGTCGGTGCCGGATCTTATAATCCAGTGAGAGGGGGAAGAACATCGCCACATTCTGGCACAAAACATTCACTACAATAACGGGACAGGCGACAATAGACATATAGGTGCCTGGAAACACCAATCAATCAACCAACAAGAGCAAGATGATCTGCATTTTTTTGTCTCGTATTTGAAATAAAACTTTCTGAAAGAAGAACGACGGAGTCAAATGACATCTGATTAATGATGCGTAACTGACAATCTTTTCTGTAAATCACATTCAACACTCAGATTTCACTAGGAAGAATTCCGCAGTCGTCATTGATTTCCTTTCATTGTGAGAACTCGACTATTGCATACGAAACCTGAAGAGTTAATGTGAACGCATTTCAAAAATGAATACAAATTCCGCGGAATGACAATGAACGTGACTCAAGAGATATAGTGGATTTGGGGGGAAATATCAAGTGACAGATGACATTTTGGATTACTTCCTTTAATTGTTGTATTTTGTAGGCCACGCATTCGATTATATCGACTGTAATGAATGATGA